TTATTAATTTATTAATGAGTTAAATTAAATATCGGTGAACGCTCATAAATCAAGACTTTGTCTGCACAGATTCAGTCCCTAAGATTCCGGCCTAACTGCGAAGGTTCTAAACCCAGTGATTATATACGATTGTTTAGGTTCCATAAGCACGGACAGCAATGCATATATATAAATAGGCTGTGGAGCTTTAGAGTACAGGAGCTTCTATTATCCTGCGGGAAGGCAGGTAGACGTTTTTCTACGTCACAGTGTCTATATATTTAATGGAATGAAATCATCGTAGTGATTGTGTGAAGTTAGGGCATTCACGTACACATTGGGTGTGAATGAATAAAATATGTATCAAAGTTGATGATGAATATATGCCATGAGATTTGATTCGCCATATATTTTGGCGAGAGTGGATTCAGCTACAAACAAAAGTGTGAACGGAAATGCCAAAAAAAGTGTCTATGTATGGATTACATATAACCATCAAATGTTTGTTCAGTAATGAGCTATAGAGACCCCTTCGGCCAAAAAAGTAATGAGCTATAGAGACCCAACATTCATAAAAAAAAGGGTCCTGGGATGGACGAACTCATCCACTCCTATCAATATTCCCATTATTTATTTATTTGCATTTAGTCTATAAGTTCTTATAAATATTTCATAATCCCATAATTATCATTTGAGTTCAGGTCTGTATAATATAATGGAATGTCTGATCAAAAGAAAGTAAGATGGGGGGAAGAACGAGGAGGAAATCAAAGGAAACAAATATATCTGGTATGTCATAGAATGAAAAATGATCTGATGAGTGAATTTATATATATTTGGCTGAATGAAACGAAAAATAAGGTTATGAGAAGAAAGCAGTAACGGTAACATAGTATAGCACCCCTACCTAAAAGAAGAAAAGGATTGCGCTTGGTGCATTGCCTGAATGGCAAAGTGATCCTCTTATACTGGGAGGTGGAGGGTTCAATCCCCCGCCGGCCAAGTTTAACCTTCCTTTCAATTTAAAATAAGAAAAGCATTATTTTTAATTATTTTTAATAATGATATACTCTCTTCATCTCTCTATATAGGTTGTTTTTTAGAAATTTATTTTATTCCTAAATATAATGGATGTCATAATATTTTTGAGTAATTAATTTTTTATTATCTTAAAAAAAGAGAAGAGATATTAATTGTATGTTTTATCCATCATCATGATAATATTAATTGATATTATTAGAGGTAAAATTAGAAAATTATTATGATTTAATGTTATTTCAGTTAAATAACAAACTTTTATTAGTTTTGATACAAAATGTTTTATTAGTATGTGTGATTCAATTAAAAATATCTTATATATAGGACCAGTAAGTTATTAATACTTACATACTAATTATTAATAATATGCAGTAATAACTATCTTTATTAATGATAAACTAATAAAATAGTTAATTATGAGGGATTTAAATTCTCTGAATTTGATAGTGGTAAATTTATATTCCCTTCATTCAAAAATGTAAGCATTTTTAAAGAATTTGATGTTAAAAAATGTAAAAAAAATTTTAATTTTTTGAGTTGTAATCTTTGTCTTTTTTTTTTTCAAAAGTGCTCCTATAACTTTATGTTTACTGTAGGGTGTTTAATAAGGGTAAATATAAAAAATAGAGTTAATTTAAAAGCAGGCAACTACTTTATTGAAGGGTGAGATTTGAATAAAAATATCTCATATTTTTTAATAGAGAGAGTATAAAGTTTTTCATTTTAAGAATAAGAAAGAAGCTTTATTTTGTAAAAATAATAAAATAAGCACAAATATTAAAAAATTATACAAATTCATTAATCTCAATTTCAACGAATTTAAAATCCAATTATCAGCATTACAATAGCATTGATTCCTGGAACAGATTTTCATTTCCAATCCCTCGTCAGCTTCCAGCCCCTCTCCTGACCACTTTCATTGGTCCCTCATCAGTTCAATACCTGTTTCATTCCACATGGACGTGGAAGGAACAATGCGAGATTTTTACTTGCGGGGTGAAAAACAGTCGCCGATTCAGGTGAGGATGAAGAAGGTACGCAAGCCTCACTGCCACAGATATTGGCAAGGCACAAGATTCAAAATTCTGAACTGCAGGTATAATTTGCCATCCGTGGGATGGCCAGATTGGACAAGTTAACCCTATTGGAAGCCATAGGAACAAACAAAAAGGTAAAAGCTATCTTAGATTAGCATCTTTTAAGATATTGATTCTCATGAAGAAGTTGCTCATGTTCAAGTTTTTTTTTTTTTGAAACTTTGATGAGATGGAGTCCTGTGCTTCAACCTTTTCAGCCTCCAGACTTAGTTTTTTGGTGTCATCGTACTCCATCATACAGACTTTTTCTTTGTCATTATCTACCACTAAACGGTAAACTCTCCCACGACCTGTCAATTTTCTAATCATGTAAAAGAAAAGTTCTTGATTTTATGCCAGTCATCTTTCTTGTCATCTTGTGTTACTTCTCTCCCCTCGGAAAATTGTATAAACTATTTGTAAACAGTACAAGAACTCACATTTCAGAGACCCTGGCATGGGCTTACATTGCATACCGGCCCAGATGGTGTCGATAAAATTAGGCTCTATGATTTGATATAAACTAAAGATAATAATAAACTCCTGAAACTAATTTGAACGGCCGTTTTTCTTTTAATAAAAAAAAATCCAACGGTATTATTGTGATTCTAAATCTTGGGGGATTATTGAGGACACTACAGGGAACTGAAGTGACTTTTCTTTCATCCCAATAAGCCGTGTCGTGTAGTACAAGAGCACGGCATTAACAACATAAAACATTGTTTTGGGACGGACCCCATTGAGATGATGGGACACACTCTGCTTTGTTTGTGGATAAGTGTCTTGTCTGCTTTTTATCTTGTTGATTTTCCAAATCAACGCACTGAATCCCTTGCAACCACATGTTTTCATTCTTAAGCTGTGATGTACCGTCACTTCTTCATAATCCGGAAAGTGGGAAACTTGACGCAAGAAGGGTGCATTCAATTCATTCATAAAAGGGAAAACAGTAAAAAGGAGGAGCTCGTGATGCCCTCAGTCATTTCTTAGCATTTTAATTGCATTTACCAGAGGAGAGTAATGGAGCGAGTGGGTTTGTAATGATGAAATCTTTACTGTGGTTGCTCAAGCTTTTGTAAAACCAATCACTCTCTCCATCTTTAATATATTGGCAGATTCTGACCACAGCCATTATAGCCCTTGCCAAAATCATGTGTCTCTTCCCCTCATTTAATTTCTCCTTCATTAAAACTTTTTACACTTCGAAGAACCACTTGTTAATCACTACTTTTTTGAACTCTTTTGTTTTTTTTTTGGGAAAAAAATTGTTCTTGAACTTGCACTGGCCAGTGACTTTGCAAAAGCCAGTGACTTTCGAGTTTTGACTCCTCTTAATTGTCATTTGCGTCAATAGAGTATTGTTTTCTCCTAGTTCTTTATGAGCTACATCTGCGAAATTAGGTCTCACCGAGTAATTTTTTTTCCCCTGCCTAGCCCCTCGGGGAGTAAAAGAGAAAGAAAGCATGACAGAAACTGATTAATGCTTTCTTGTAGGCATGCTGGAAAAAAGGCGATTGATTAAGGCAGATTTAGCTATCTTAATTTTTGGAAAATCAAAATGCCAACTCATGTAAAAGATGCACGAGGAAGTGGTTATATCTTTTCTTGTCAGGAGGACAAGACCAACTTAATTTGTTTAGATTTATTTCAGGACTATGTGATGAGGATAACCCATAACATGACTCAAGTATCGACCAAGGCAACAACATCATGTTAAACCTGGCCTACACAAGAACACAGACGTCCCCCACGATTAGTTGAAATGCCAATGGATTATTAAATCAATTTGTTTGTGTCCCTTTAATGATGCTGTGCTTTGCTGTATGAAAGCTCTGACTCCTAACCTCCATTTTTAAAACTTACATAAACCAAGTTACTGTGGAATAGAGTCGACGAGTTGATTAAATGTTGTTGACATATATGCATGTCGTTGAGCGATTTTAACATAACATAACACGACTCAGCCACTTGCGTTAAAAAAAAAAAAAAAAAACACGTTACTCTGCATAGTAAGAATTCGAAGGTGCCGAGGTAGATATCTTGGTTTGTTGATTATATAAGTCTTCGTCGCAAACTGAGTTGTGGCATGATTCTTGTTTTAAACGACCACACACTCGTGTTTCCACTATGAAGATGTCCTGTTTTAGATTTGACCACCACCTGATTGTAGACCACATTTAAGTGCTATTAATGATCACGCATCTAAACTCTAGAGTCCAGTCTACCAAGGTGGACAAACAGGTGTGAAATCACACCTTGATGGGTTTTCTTTTGTCATTTATAGATTGAACTCCCTGAAAAGCTAATCCTACTTCTCAAAAGTCTCTATCTTTGCTTTCTCGGTGCAGTTTATCAGTTCATCCATGCAAAAGTTGCATCTTTTTCGTACGTCTTTTCTTTCTGATCAAATCACTATTCCCACTTTTAAGACATCCACTGCCAACAAAAAGTTGCATCGCCCAACACTAATCAGTGTTCATGACGTAATATACAGGTTTGATCATTTTGATTACCCTTTGAAAGTACAATTTTGTTCAGTTCAATTCGGCTCAACCTTGATCCAAAATGCTTGAATAATGGGTTGTGGTAAGAGTTTTGTGATGTTAAACGGCATTGATATTCATATATATCCGATATCGTCTTCGGATGCATCACAGCACTGTCATTATGTTTCAATATTAACCCCAACAGGTGGTGGTCTGAATTTTTTTCTTTAATTCCATTGTGTGGTATTCTGAATTTCTTATTATCACAAATCAAATCAAGATTTTGACACAAAAATGCAATTATTTAATCACCGTGTCGTGGAAGTAATAAAAAAATAAATACAGAAATCTCTGTCAGATTATAAATTCTTGCAGACGATAATCACCCATGAAGTCTTCCAACCTTTAAGAGGCTCATACCAATTCACAGCAGAAATTGAATGCCCGCAATACAGCAATGAGTGCTGAGAAAAGAAAATAATAGAGGGAATAACTCCAGATGCTTCAATAACCAGAGTAGATACCAGCTGGCAGGTAAGTACGCTATAAAACACAATATAGGAAAATGCACCAAGTCACTCTCAATATTTCATTATAACAAGCTCATTAAAAAGCATTAAACCAACTGTCCCTCCTCACTCAGACCGCTCTTATTATTATAATTCAAATCCCAATGTCTATCTTTTCCCACCATGGGCTCTACACGCAAAACTTGGCGAGCATTTTTGACCAAAAGTTGCCAGACTCGTGGATTCGGGGTCCTCTGAAGTGCATTCTGAGGACTACACAGCACACAGCACGGTGCAAGGCCAATGGAATGGAACTTATCGTGGCAATACTTTTCATGATGAACAACTAACCATTCTTTCTACTAAACTCCTCAAAAAAGGTGAAAACTAACGGAGACACTTTTTACATTTGGGTGATCATTAGTTCACGACATGTGTACAAAACAACGTTAGCATATAGCAGAGCTAAGTTTGTCCCGGCACAAAGCAACGAAGCCTTCTCATGCTTATCCGGCTTGTCAACCACGTGGAGGACTCAGAAGTCACGTGACTTGCGACTGAAGTGAAATCTGGGTGAACTGGTCCTCACAGAGAAGACCCCGTTCCAGATCTCAGTGAAAGCTCTGACTATAGCTCCATGGTGGTAGGGAGAATTGAGCTGAAGAAAACAATTGAGAAGCTCTCGGAGATCGTCCTTGGAGTATATCTCATTCTCCAATATCATTTGAAGCATGGAGTGCCTAAAATCCAGATAAGGGTCGTCGGAGTCTTTCTCCACCGCCACGCCTTCGCCGCCTACTCTGCCGAAAGCTCCGATGGTCCTCGACGCATTCCCATAGTTGTCAGAGTCAGAAAAGTGCGAGGAGTCGACGTAGGGAGAGAAAGTTGTGGCGGTGGCTGTGGTGGTTGCGGAGTCGTATTGGCTAGAAGAAGAAAGATTGTAAAGTTTGTGTTTATGGTAAGAGGGGTTCTTGGGTTTGGGCTTGGGGTGGAATATGTGAGAAAGCTTTGGTCTCCTGCAGCTGCCGCAGCCAAGTTTGACGGAAACAGAGCTTAAATGAAGCTTCTTTCGGAGGTTAGACATTGCTCTGTTTTGTTGGAGAAAGTAAGAAACAGAGTACGTGGGGAAAGGGAGGGCAAGGGAAGAAGATTTCCCAAGTCAAGGGGAACTGTGAAGCCTGGGAAGAGGGAGTGACTGTCTGTGTGGGTGGGTGAGAGAGAGAGAGAGAGAGAGAGAGAGAGAGACGAAGTGCTCTGCTCTGGAGTGTCAATTTATTTACATGTGAGAGAGAGAGAGAGAGAGATGTGGTAACTGGTAACTTGTAACCAATCTGTTTAGCTTTAATGATGAACGAGTGATCTGGACCGCAGATTTTGTTAGGGATAAACTAACTGTTGATGAGCTATCTGAGAGGGCGGATATTAATCCGATCACATGTATAATTTGTTAGTGTTCGGGCCCCCCACATTAAGGCATCCTTGAAAATCTGGATTAAGAAAATTAATTACACGAGAATGAGAGTTTTCTCTCGTCCCCCAGTTAATTATAAGAGTTGGAATATCCAACCTGTATCCCTTATCTGTCCATATCGTCCATATGACACGATAGAGGGCTGGAATTAATATTAATATAAAATATAAAAATCATACTAAGTGCACTTTTCTTATTTATTCATTGAATGTGTAATACATGGTATCGAAATTTACTTCCAATGGTAATAATAATAGATATTATTTTCCATGTATTTTTATTTGTTATCTAATTTTCTAAAGTGCATTGTTCATTGTTCATGATTTATATTTATAAATACTTTAATTTAGCAGAAATTTATTGGTCTATTAATAATGTCCTCGCCATTACTCATCTTGTGATAATATGATTGATTATCTTTAGAATAAAAAAAATATTATAGTTATTTTATTATTCAAAAGAGTACTTTTTTGCGGGAGAAAAGCTTAGGGTTTGTTTGCTCTAACTGTTCTTTAAATTAATATGGTATCTTTTAATGCTAAAGGCCAAAGTATCCTGTTAATTGAATTTTAGTTTATAATTGTTAAAAATAAGTTTGAAAATATAAAATAAATATTAGGGCCCTAAGGCTCACTCGAGCTTGATTCAAGTATGTTACTCTCCTAATTATGAGAAAAATCTCAAACTCAACTTTTCGAAAAGTTGATAATTTTGATGAATTAAATGAGATTAATTTAAATATAATGCCTTCACCTTATAACTTAAGAAATTTTCATTTTTTTATATTCATATAACTATTTTTATTTTGAATGTAGCTAGCTTTTACTTTTTTGTGTAGTGCATGATCAACTTATAAATAACATCTTATTAAATTATAAATAAATTAGTTCTGCGTTAAAATTATCCATAAAAGGAGAATAATTATTTTTTTTTGAAGAAGAAAAACACCAAGTTATTACTCGGTGTTAATAGTTAATACATGAAACTCGAGAAATTAAATTAGTTTATGCAACTCCTGTTAGATAAATTAGGGAAGTATTGTGAAAATTGAAATTCACATGTAATTCAACAGTCACATATTAACCAATTTATCAACAACTTTGGTCACCTCCCCATTACACAATTATATGGAAGTATGCCGAATCGCTTTTCATCAGGTTATGTATTTCTAAGAAGATATGACCTTTTGCATAAAAGTTCCATGAAAGGAAAATGTTTGACATTGATCATTGCTCAACTTGCTATGGCTTCTTTTTTTTTTTTTGAATAATTCCAGTAAACATGCTTTTCTTCTTTCTAATATGATATTTATTTAGGATTTTACAATGCTAGACTTGTTTCCACAGAGTGAATATTGTATTAAATTTAATATTAGAATTTAACCAAATTTAAAATGAGTTATGCTCAATCAGGGTGAACGAAAAGTAAATCTTTGCATCTACTTACGGTGTAACTCATCAAAATTACTTGAACAATGTATTAAAAAAAAATTACTTGAACAGATACAAGTATTATTTTTCACATTAACAAGATGACAAAATATCCCTAATTGGACATGACTTACTATAAAAGTCTATGAACACCAAAAGTTACCACCAAGGAAGCCTAACGCTTCAATCCACGAAGAAAAAGATACAAAAAAGCCATCAATATATGCATGATTCAACCACCTAATTCCTCATTAATAACAAAAACTTGTCAACAACTTCAAAAAATTCAAAGAAATATGAGGCAAGTAACTTGAATTAGTGTTTTACTTTTTCATTTAGAGGTGTAACAAAATCACTGTGAAGCTTTTTATGTTTGCCACTGACAATTAAGCTTAATAGGAGATGGAAAAGCTTTTTGTTTTTTATTTAGTGAATAGGGGTTTGAAATGTTCATTGATGTTGTAACCTGCCTTTAACAAAACAGGTTTATGGAACTATATTAACTCTTTATAATGTGTCATCTTCAAATTGGGAATTGTTCCAAAAAACAATGTTGACTCTATCCAAAAATTTGGTCAGCATTGGGCCAAAACAGCTAGAAACAATTAGTATACAAGATACTGCATAATAAAAAATAACCTGTAAAACATTTTTATGACATCTTGCGACTTCATCTCCCTTATCGCTATGTGGGACTTTACTAAGGTGCATGCTTCCTTTCCAAATTTGGTACTCCATGTTTAAGGTTTAGAAAGATAGCCAAACCAGTTAAAATTAATCTGGTACTCCTAATTCTGGACACATCAAATTAAAATACAACAAAATTAGAAATGTAGCTTCCAAATCTTCAATATTATCACTTCACAAAAACACAATATCTTCAAACTTCATTTCCGCTCCCATCTAAAATCATCCCACTTCCCTTCATTGGCATAGGATGTGTCTGCTTCAAAATCTTTTGGCATAATTCCCATCCAACATCACGGAACACAGCCCTCCCTTGTAATCTCAAGACTCGACATGCACTCGTTGACCATATGTTATCAAAATCATGTCCATCAAAGGAAATAGGAATCATGTGAATAGCTAGCATTTGACAGCCAAGAAACTGACTTTATTAATTAATAGCTCAATCATGAATAGCTCTTCACGTTAAGCAAACTTTGTTTAAGGTGTGCTCACTCATGTGGTTAGGTTTCAGACTTTGCATAACCTGTATAAAAAGTTAATTGAAATCAAAGAAGAAAATACTCTCTCTATTCTTATATATAAGATGTTTTAATTGAATCTCGCATACCAATAAAGATTAATTACTTTCTTTGTTAAAAAATATAAGGTATTTTTTGAAGAGTTAGATGTTCAAAAATGTAAAGCATTTTTAATTTTTTAATATGTAACCATTGTCTTTTTTCTAAAAGTGTTCCCTATTGATGAATGACTTCATGCTTATTGTAGGATGTTTGGTAGGAGTAAATATGAAAAGATATGGTTAGTTTGAAAGTAAGTAATTACTTTATTAGAGGTGAGATTTGATTAAAAATGTCTTATATTTTTTATAGGAGGAAGTATTTAGTTGAAATCATATTAAAACACAATAATTTTTTTTAACTTTGCCCCTATTAATGTCAATTAGTACGATGGTGGCAGTGGGTGGAGCACTCAATCAATATTTCTTCCCTTTCTTTAAATCAAGGTAAAATTATTTAATTACTTACAAATATTATGACATCTCTTATATTTAAAAATAAAATAAGTTTATAAAAAAATACTTTACATATAAGGATGGGGGACGTAAAGAAAAAGAGAGACAATAAGAGATAAGAGAAGTAAAAAGAAAGAGAAGCCAAAAAAAAGAACAATGGCTAGCCCAAAAAACATAGCAAAACCAAATTATGTTTTAAATGAGAGGCGGTAACTGTCATTGCACGAAACAACATAAATCAGACAGATCAAAAGCATTATAATATATGCAGAAAGATATAAATAGACTTTTTAATAAGATGACTAAGGCTATTAAGAACAATCTAGGTAATGAATTAGACATGTAATAATAGTTTTTGAATCCGTAGCCTAAGCTTTTACAAAAAAAAAAAATATAATTTTTAGTTTCTGTACTTTACTTATATTTTATTATAGGTCCTTATATTTTTTTTATTATTTTAGGTCTTTATACTTTTATTTTTTAGTGTTCTAGATCTTTAAATAAATAAAATATGGGGATCTTGGAGGGACATAAAACATTAAAAAATGAGAGTGTACGGATCCAAAACATAAAAAAAAAGTACAAAGACTTATAATAAAATATGATTAAAGTGTAGAGATAAAAAATTATGTTTTTTCAAAAAAAAAAATGATGGTTCTTGTGACATATTATCTCTCTTTCCTGCAAAGATGGCATAGAAACAATAAAAGTTGAAATCAATAGATCAAGTATAATTAAAAGGAAGCTATTGCATAAATCAAGGTAGTGAAGAGGAAAAACACCTGTGATTGTTGTGATAAAAGGAAGCTAGTGTATATACGAGTCATTAATCAAGGAAGGAGACAGTAGGATTGACATGTAAAAGACAAAGATTAGAAGGATATGAATCAAAGACGCATTGACTAAGGTAACCAACAAAGCGAGTGAAGAGGCCGAAAGCAATATAGAAAAAATAATAGAAGCAATGTAGAAAAAATCATGTTCTTTTTTTAAACAAAAAGCTTTAAAACTAATAGAAATAATTCACCAGAAAATTAGTCAAGATTATGTCACTGATGAAATAGAAGCATCTTTAGTATGAAACAAGTATAACATTTAACAAACATAAATTTAATAATGTATAATATCTATATTTCTTTCATCAGTTCGAATTTGAAAGCAATATCGCACCAAATAGGCTTGCATGTTTTTGTAAAAATGGACAACTAAATTCTTCCTAATAAAGGAGAAGAAGGGAGGTAAAATAGGTAACATGGGATAATGATTGTCAAGAAGAAGAAGAGAAGCAATGAAATAAAAGAGATGCCTAAGGGAAGAAACAATATGGAAGAAAGCGGAGAAGGAAGTTGAGAGAGAGAGGGGGGGGGCCTTCATTTTGTTATTGACTTTCACTGACCTGCATCTGTGTTGTTATGTATCTTCTTTTCTGACCTTAAAACCTAAATATTCTACCATAAAAAATTTCAACTTCCTATCTACCAAAAAAAGAATCAATCTATTAACAACTTGGAATTACAATTAACTCAACCCATCCACTAACATACTAAATTACCTTTTAATTAGCAATTAGATTTCAAGTTTAAAACTTGAAATGTTACAAGAATACCTAGTGGCCTAAAGTCCTCATCATAGCAATGTTGCCTTAGATGTTAAATTCTCATAAATTTGGGGGCCCATTATTTGAAACAAATGGCTTTGACTTGGCTTTGGTGACCTAGTTCTTTAGCTTCTAATTTGCGAATAT